TATATATATATACACACACACACACATATATATATAGTTAAAGGAACAAACCAACAGAAGAGGAAGTATATTCCCTCTGCTTTTACTGGTATGCTTTTACATACAAAGTAACACTGTGATGACAGGTCCACTTTAAAACTCTGTCACTGTGCAAGGGCAAGTTGCAAGCTCAAGGCAAAATGACAGGTTGTCTTGGGGGGAAAAAAAATTATCCAGCTGATGATGCTCACCTCCAGTGTGTTCCCCTGCTCCCCCATTACTTCACTGGAAGAGCCCTTTGGAAACACCAGGTCTTTCTAGGTATGGGGGATCATGTGACCTCTTCCAATTCCTCCCAGGATGCAATGCTTGAGCATGGCATGATCGATCAACAAGCTCGAACACGGTATCATGGGGAATGAAGGGAAGTCATCAACACTGTGTAAGCTCTGACACTGTCAGACACAAGATAACACAGGGTTCAGACTCCGGTGGAGGGGGAAGGTAAATATCAGAGGGTGGGTAGTTGATCTTTCAAGAGAACCTGTTACTTTGCCCTCAATGTTTGTTGGTAATCCAGTGGCCGGTCTTTGTCCTGGAGCCTGCATGCATTCTTCTTTTATTGAGATATGACCCAGCTAACCTAAAAATTATCAGCGTATACGGGTAACAAGGGCTGACATTTTCATGGTCAAGCTCTGAACCACCCATATCTGCTCTTCTCATGACCCTATTGGGCAGCAAGGTCACCTTTCATTGGGTGATGAGCAGCCACTATAAGCTCACACTCTAAAACAAACCCATGGCTTCAATAATAACTGTAAACATGTCCTAGTTTTAATCTGTGAACTCTATGCTTGCTGTAGGGATGCCCAATGTTCTCCCAATGATCTCCTTTTGCTGTAAATGAACCCAGAATATTCAGTACTGACTACTGGGTTCAATGTCAATGTGACATCAGGCAGAGAGAGACATGTTGGGGGGAACATGTGCTTTAGCCATGCAAATAAGCCCAAGCTCATAATTACCCTTCGCTCCCCCATTTTTCTTCTTGGCCAGGTATGGGGAGCATGTCACTCACTCCCCTTCTTCTCATGTGATGGTGTTGGTACTTGGTGATTGGCCATTGACAGCCAGCACCATTGCACGGGAGTGTGCAGAGAACAGAGGGATGCTTCTTCTGAGCATGTGCAGTTGGGGGAAATAAAAAAACACTGGAAGATGTGAAAATGACTCGCCTTACACCCCAGCTTGCGGTGCATTCACCTTGGCGGGGTAACATCGCTGAGGCGTGTAGTGATTTTCGTTGTGAAAATCAGGGCAACCTCAATTCTTTTCCAGAGAGTAGCGTTTAATTGGATCGAAGAAACAGATGAACAGGAACAATCCAACAGAGTAATACAGAGTAAAATATCTAGACCTCAGATGATAAAGGTTCCATGAGGACCCACTCTAACTACCCAGCATATATCTCCAATCTATATACGCACCTCTGTGCCTCTCTTCATGACTCTGAACTCTCTTCTCAGCCACCTTAGGCTCTCTATTTATATACAGTTTAGTGCCATTCACTGACACTGAATGGATTCTGATTGGCTGGTCTAATTACCCATTTGATGTTAGTTAACTAAACAGGTTTTGACAAAATTCCCTACAGCTGTTCCATTGTGTACAATCAACAAAACAGGATTGGTCAACTGGACAATAAACTAACAAAATTAAAAACCTAGTTAGCATAGGGGTGTTAAATAACATCAGCTAAAAGAATGCAATACATGAGAATACACCCTAAATATGCCCCTAATATATCTACTTCAATCATAATTTACAACAAGGCGCACTATGGGATCCTGGCAAACGGAGGACCCCGAATTTCAGGATATTGCACTACTGTACAGGGCTGGATCACCAGATTTGGGATCCCAGCAGAAGGTCAAGTGGCATTATTGACACCTGCAGGATACATCCAGGAGCTGAGGTCTGATGTATTTTTGAAATATTTCCTCTGATGTTTTATTCCCGCATTCCTTTCCTTTCTTTTTTACGTAAGATCAATGGGCTTTGGAGTTTCATGCTAGGTTCACATGTTGCTTTGGCCTGCATAGGGTCACTTTGAGGCTAGCTTTGCATCCATGCATTGCACCAATTCAGATTTGTATTGTGAATTATTGCAGCAAATGGTAAGCTATGAATGTTGCATATTGTGGGGCCATTGATTTCAAAAGGTACCCTAGCGCACCTTATCCACATACTTCAAGTTAGGATCTCCACTTTCAGAATCCTGCATCTTACCCTGATAATAGACTTTCAAGGACTTTTTTCACTTGAGCAAGAAGGTCTTATTGGCCTAAATTTTTCAAGCGCAATAGTGAAATGGGCCCTAAGCGTAACCAGTATATTCAGGCTCGTGTGTCTGTCAAATTGGCCCGTGCAAAGAAACACATTGGCATCACTTTCCAATCTCCCAAATGCCCAGAAAGCTGACAGAAACCCCTTTTATGACATCCTATTCTTCTCCGAGGCCTCTCTAATGTCTTTTATCGGATGAGGCATCTGTCAGTCTTAGAGGAAACTCCTGCAGGAAATGGAGGTTTCCCCAACGGGAAATGGAGAGAACAGCTGGCTGGACATTCCGTGGAAGAGTGAATAAACAGGAGGGGCCCAGTCAACGCAGGCTATCAAACTATTTCTACTGCAGGAACAGGATGGAGATCAGAAAAATATTTATAGACCGGTTACTTTATAATTACTCCTAGAGATTGTTCCCCCCTTGTCTGAGCATTCTGTAATGTCAGTAAGACAGTGCAGAATTAGACATATGTAATAGCATGGCACGGGGCCACCTGTATGAAGGGCTGGAAATACTAAATGTCAGTGTTATTCTTGGCTAGACCTATCAGGGGCAAGGCAGGATTGTCCTCTATTTGACGAGCTTCTCTCTTCACCACAAAGCTGTTTCATTCTGCTATGCACACCAAGGAAATAGCAGAGACTTTGCATGCCTGAGCAGCTCCCAATGGTAGGAATGGTTGGGGGCCTTGGTGGATGGTGGGTTGCCTTGGAACTAAGCACTGAGAGTCAAGAAGAGTGGTGACTTTTAAGTGGTGCCTCAACATCTCAATGCACTGAATGTTCCAGGTGTTGGCACATACCAGTCCACAGCTCTTTTTCTTCTATTGCATGGAAAAGAGAATCTAATTGGTTCACAGTATATGGCCATTATTATTATTTTACAGGATTTATATAGCGCCAACAGGTTGCGTGCCACTTTACAATATAAGGAAGACATTACAATCACAATACAATTCAAGATAAGATGGTAAGGAGGGCATTACAGACAGTTATTCATTCGTGAAGTTTCATATAGGAGTCCCAAAGTGCATGCATCAATGATGTTCACATTCATATGTTAAACAGTAGATTCAAGCTTTGGATATCAAGAAAATAGCGGATGTAGCATGTCTAAGCTGCTCCCAGTGGGAGGAATGGTTGGAGTGCCTGGTGGATGGGGGTTAGTGCCAAGACCCTTGGAACTAAGCATTGAGATCCAAGGAGGTTGGTGACCTTTAAGTGGTGCATCTGCATCTCAATGCACTGATCGTTCCAGGTCTTGGCACATACCAGCCCACAGCTCTTTTCATTATAAGAGAATCTAATTGGCTCACAGTATATGGCCAATACGAACAGTTCTTTATTCATGAAGTTTCATATAGGAGACCCACGGTGCATTCATCAGCGGTGTTCACATTTATATGTTAACCAGTACATTCAAGTTATGGTTATCAAACAATTGCAGACGTAGCATGTCTGAGCTGCTCCCAGTCGAAGGAATGGTTGGGGCCCTTGGTGGATGGAGGTTAGTGCCAAGACCCTTGGAACTAAGCATTGAGAGTGAAGGAAGGTGGTGACCTTTAAGTGGTGCCTCAGCATCTCAATGTACTGAATGTTGCAGGTCTTGGCTCATACCAGCCCACAGCTTTTTTTATTATTTTATTTTTATTATTATTTTTATTTTTGTAATAGTTGTTATGTTTATTATAAGAGAATTCAAGCTATGAATATCAAGACAATTGCAGATGTAGCATGAAGTTTCATATAGGAGGCACACAGTGCACTCATATGTCAGTCTGGCTAAATTAAAGCTAAACTGTAGGCAGATATAAAAGACACAAAGTAATGCAGCTTTGTCCTATATTCTTAATGACATGTATTTTGTCCTAAATGAGAGTATTGTTAGGGTTTTCATGCACTTTAATTATGTTTTTGTAATTCCAGGACCACCATGACATGCTGCTGGAAATTGAAAGAGACAAGGCAATTACAGACAAGGTTATTCTCATCCAGAAAGTGGTGCGGGGCTTCAAGGACAGGTGAGCCTCCCATGTTTTGTTTTGTAAGTTCTTCAACATTTCTAACAAGGATGACCAATTCTATCCCTATAATGAGGCAGCCTAATGCTGTTGCCTCGGGCGGCATCTCTTAGGGTCACCTTTTGGGGGCGGCAGGCAGAGCAGCATGTTTACAGTGTGTCTGCTGCCCCCTTTCCAACCAGAGCATCCCAGGTTGCCAAGAGCTGGCTGGTGTCCCACTCAGCTCCTGGCAACCAGTGACGTTATTGCCACCACTGCTACCGACACCTCCCCAACCCCAAATCCACCCACCCCAGCCACAGGAGAGCAGTCTGTTACAGGCAGATATAGTTCTTGATACACAGACAAGATGATCCATGCTCTCTTAATTGAACTTTGTACAGGTGTTAACAGTAACAGTCATAAATACTTGAGGTATTTAGGTATTTAGTATCATGTGCTTTTAAATTTCTTGTGCCCAATTGGGACTATTCCTTTAAATGTCAACTCTCATGTGTCCATGTTGCCATTAAGAATGTAAGCCAATGAGAGTCCATGTTCACGCAGAGTAGTACATTGTATATTAGGGCATCGATGCAAAAATGACCAGCTTGTGGTGTATTGCATGCAACAGAATGTACAGTTTATGTGAATATGACATTGACGCTTATAAATAATGGAACCTGTACTTTGAACATGCAGGGTAAAATGCAACATGCAAAGCAAAATTGAATCTGCTTAGACTCCGCCCTCCCCTCAATGCTAATTATTTTTTTTAATAAAACATGTTTTAATGTAAATACCTTATTTTATTTCTAGTGACGTTATCACCGTCTCTTTCTGCAATACAGGCAGATCATGCCTGGTGGAAAGGGCCAGCAGGGGGTCATGCATAGTTTCTTGAAAATGTTACAGCACCCTACCTCAGTGCTATTCTCAAGAGCCCTCAGCTCTGATGCAAGCAGTGGGCTGGCTCTTGGGAGGAGTTATGCTAATATCGCAATGCCTTGATGAGTGAATGTCAGTCTTGAGGAGTGGGCGTTCCTAGGCAGGCAGTATTTGCATGCAGACCACCCAGGGTAACACCCACATGTGATGCTGGGTGCTCAGTGAATCGGTGAAAGAACTGAAATGCAATGAATGGAAGGTGTGGATCAGGGACTATCAGGGTTGGGAGAGAAGGGGCTTATTGATGAAGCTGGACGTTATCCAGCCAGGAAATGAGGCGGGCTCTATCTGACTTGCTGCAGCTTCTAATGCACATTGTGAGAAGTTCGCAGTGTGCAGTGAAATCAGAGGAAGCCATTTCAGTCCAGGAGAGGAGCCGGTACAACTGTGCAAGGCCGGAGCTCAGCTTTAACTACAACCATCAATAGCTGGACATGCTAACCTCGCCTTTACACTCCCACCGCTACGTCTGGCCATTGGAAGTGAAGAAAGTACGCCCTGTATAAGCTCCAGGTCCTCTTCACACCCCTGTGTGTGAGTGACAAATCTCTAAACATCAGCACCATCACATGAGGTGAAGGGGAGTTAGTCACATGCTCCCCTATACCCAGATGTACCCAGTAGTTTCCTTTGCTCTAAGTAATAGAACAGACTGGTGAAGGAGCAAAGGGAAGGTGGGCGGCCTTGCATGGATAAAGCACAGGTTTACTTTAATAAGAATCGTGTTATTCTGTTATTATTGTTATTATCAATATAGTTACATAGTTACAGTTAGTCAGGTTGAAAAAAGACACAAGTCCATCGAGTTCAACCTATAGAGATACGGGGGAAAAAAATATATATGAGTAAGTAACCAATCTGCTTGTGTTATCATAGGTCCAATTTCTTAAAAGTGAGAAAATCTGCTATGTTGATCCAAAGATATTGGCGAGGACACAACTGCAGGAAGAATTACGCTGTGGTAAGTCACGGTTATAGAGAAAATGAAAATGATCCAGTAGTTATAGGGGGACGCACTCAGCAACATGAAAGGCACAAAGAATCAGAATAGTTCTATTTGTGAAATCCTATCTGCCCAGGATAAGGTAAAACTAACCCCCCTCCTAGCCCTCTCTCCCTCCCCCTTGTAATTGATCATTGGCTTTAAAAAAATAAATGCCCATTTATCACTGGGGTCACAGACACTCAAGTCTCAAGTCTTCCCTCGTCCTTTCTTTACTTCTTGTGGGGTCCTTTTTTACTGTCTGCTTGATGTGGACACTTTCTATTGGTGATCCACTGGGGGGTTCCTCTCCGGATCCTGAAGAGGAGTGATGTCATTACAAGGGGTTGGTAGGGGACCTACCTGCAAGAGACTATCTGATGGTCAGGTCCCAAGTCTTCCCTCTTCCTTTGTTTACTTCTTGCGGGGTCCTTCTACACTGCCTGCATGACAGGGACACTTTCTATTGGCTGTTCAGTAATGGGATCCTCTCAGGATCCACAAGAGTGATGTAATCACAAGGGGATGGTAGGGGACCTGCCAGCAAGGGGCTATCTGCAAGGGACTATCTGACGCTCAGGTCCCAAGGCTTCTCTCTTCTTTTGTTCACTTCTTGTGGGGTCCTTCTTCACTGGCCTGAATGACAGGGACACTTTCTATTGGCTGTACAGTGGTGGGTTCCTCTCAGGATTCAGAAGAGGAATAATGTAATTGCAAGGGGACCTGCCAGCAAGGTACTATCTACAAGGGACTATTTGACGCTCAGGTCCCAAGTCTTCCCTCTTCCTTTGTTTACTTCTTGCGGGGTCCTTTTTCACTGCTTGTATGATGTGGACACTTTCTATTGGTGGTCCAGTGGTGGTGTCCTCTCCGGATCCAGAAGAGGAATTATTTAATCACAAGGGATTGATAGTCCCTGGCCGCCAGGTCCCCTATCTGCACGGGACTATCTGGTGGTCAGGGTCCAAGTCTTCCCTCTCCCTTTGTGTACTTCTTGTGAGGTCCTTCTTCAATGCCTGCATGACATGGACACTTTCTATTGGTTGTCCAGTGGTGGGGTCCTCTCAGGATCCAGAAGAGGAATGATGTCATTGCAAGGAGATGGTAGGGAACCTGCTGGTAAGGAATTATCTGATGCTCCAGTCCCAAGTCTTACCTTTCCGTTGTTTACTTCTTGTGGGGTCCTTCTTTACTGCCTGCGTGACAGGGACACTTTCTATTGGCTGTTCAATGGTGGGGTCCCCTCAGGATCCAAAAGAGGAGTGATGTTATCACAGGTAGATGGTAGGGGACCTGCCGGCAAGGGGCTATCTGTAGCGCTGGTTTAGCGGTCTCCCGCACCCAGGAACTGCCATCAGTTGGGCACCTGGAGGGGGATTAGGTGATTATAACTTGCTTCACAAGGCAAGGGAAAATAAAAACCCCAAAGGATGGGTTAGAGGGAGGTGGGAAGTAGGGATGGGTGGGGGGTCGAATTTAGCCGAAATGGGGCGTTAACACTATCACAATGTCTAAGCTGTCATCATAAAATCACTGAGATGGACCTTTAACCTCGGTGACCCCTTGCTCTTGTTTTTCTAGATGAGGATTGGCTTCCTACGGCTCCAAGCTCTATACCGCTCCCGGAAACTTCACCAGCAGTACCATATTGCCCGCAGGCGTATCAGCCACTTCCAGGCTCATTGTCGAGGTTTTCTGGTGCGAAAAGCTTTCAGGCACCGGCTCTGGGCGATCTACACAATTCAGGCGCATGCCAAAGGCATGATCGCTAGGCGGCTATACAGGCGCCTTAAAGGAGAGGTATGAAGGCTGTCTGGAATCGCTGTGTAGCTGTGCTCTGCCTTTCCAAATTGTCCATTCTGTAAGTATTTCTCTTCTGTCTTCAGTATCACCGGCGCCTTGAAGCAGAAAAAATTCACCTTGCTGAGGAGGAACGTTTGAAGAAGGAGATGAGCGCCAAGAAAGCCAAACAGGAAGCTGAGAAGAATCATCAAGTAGAGTGCCTTTATCTTCTATATAATGACTTAACAAAATGGAGGCCACAAACTTGGCAAGCCCAATTGACTTAAAGGATTTTCAGTTAACAGGCAACTAGCCTAATACACAGTTAAAATGCATTAATTGGAGTTGTTCTACCTGTCAAAGGATTTGTAACTCTATACAGTGGCGGGACTATCGCCATAGCGACCCTTCCGCTGTCCAGATCACTGACAACCTTTCAGTGATCTGTGCAGCAGCGTGTTCCTCTTCACAGCCGCTGCTGAGTCAGTGACAGGCCGCAGCTTATGGTGGAGGAGGCCGGGGGTGGCAGCGGAAGAGGAGGCGGGGCCCGGCGGCGGTGCAGGAGGAGGAAGAGGCCAGGCCTGGCAACGGTAGAGCAGGCGGGGCCCGGCGGTGGAGAAGGCTGACAGCTGATCAGGGCTGTCAGCTAAGAGGTGTGCAGAAGTGTGGCCAACCCACCTGAGACCCTGCAGAGCTCACCTTAGAGAGTCTATGGTGGGCTCTGCAGGGTCACTCTCAGGTGGGCTGCGTGGGCTCTCAGGTGGGCTCTCAGGTGGGCTCTGCAAGGGGCAGAACTAGAAATCACAGGGTCCCATACAAAATTTTGTTATGGGGCCCTGTGATTTCTAGTTACGCCCCTGACTCTATATCATCAATTTGGTGGCCTGGGCACCCTTGCCAGATGGCATGGCTTTGTCATGAACCAAATCAACCTGAAAGTGTCAGTTGTCAAACGTGACAGAAGAGAAGTATGTCTTGACTGGGAGACTTATGGACTCAGATATTAGGCTCACATGTCTTCCTGACAAATAGAGAATGCAAGTGAATGGCAGCACACATAGCTCTACCTCTGAAACATAAGACTGCATTCATATAAGGAACTTAAAGAAGAACTATGAGATGAATGATTTCCACTCACCTCATAGTTCTAGCCGACCTGTGACAATGAGACTGTCACAGGTCGGCTCAGTAGATCGGGAGGTGAGCGAACACATACCAGGTTTGCTCACCTCTCGATCCTGTCACGGCTCTCTGCCGTGACAGGGGGAGGGCTGGATTCCCCTCTCCCCGCTCTGATCTGCCAGCGCTGACTGGCGGAATGGACGGGGGAGGGGACGGGTACAGCTGGCTCTGCCTCTAGATAGGCAGAGCCAGCTGTCACTCACGCAGCTGGGCGGATCCCGTCATCTACGTCGGGATCCGCTCCGGCTGCGGCGTCTCAGTATACCGCGAGCTGTAGCTCGCGGTATACTGAGCTTAGGGTGATGGGAGGACGCTAGTTTGTGTCCTCCGGTTACCCTAAGGAGAACTAGGGGGAAAAACACTGACCCCATAGTTCTCCTTTAAGAACAGAGATTCAAATCCTTACCGATTCTGGCAAAGCAGTGTAAAATCTCAGGACTGGATGTCCTGGCAAATCATTTGGCAGGTAAAACGATCATACATGTATTTCATCTGTTTTCTATGTGACCTGTTCACATCCCACACATGTGGTGATGTGCAGAAAACATTGTGTGAACAAGTCCTAAATGTCTTTATGTAAGCTCCTAGGCAAGAAAACTCTGACCATTGCATGGTGGGGCCCCAAAGGCACCTAAGGGCTTCAGGCAGCCCTCGAGCCACAGGTTGGGCATCAGAAGTGTACAGTCATAATAAAATGATTTCTTTAGTCACATGTTGTTTTACTTTATACTCACTGATAGGTACGTCTAGCCAAGATGGCCCGGGAGGATGCGGAGAGAGAAGTGAGGGAGAAGGAGGAGGCCCGCCGGAAGAAGGAGTTGCTGGACAAGATGGAGAAGGCCAGAAATGAACCCGTGAATGATTCGGACATGGTGGACAAAATGTTCGGCTTCCTTGGAACAACTTCATCTCTGCCGGGCCAGGAGGGGCAGGCTCCCACAGGATTTGAGGTATGGTAATCTGTACACCCCAAAATGAACTCCCTGACTTTCTGAGGTTCAAAGGGGTGGAGCTTCGAAATAATAGGTGTGGCTTTAAGAGAGTACAGGCATAGATGACTAGTTCAAGGCGGAGCTTGTGCTTATCAATTATGAGGCTCTATGCTGGTCATAGACTTAATTTTTTAGCTATTTCAACCATCTTTCAGTTGCAAAAACCACATCAAGCCAACCTACCAGCAGTGCTGCCCCAGACATATCAAACAATGAACTTTGCTTATGTGTTCCCTGTTGGTCTGGTAAATATTCCACTAAAAGCTTCTTCACTTCTTCACTTCATGATGGGGGAAGCTAAAAAAAAGCTGTTGAGCTTGCCAAAAATCCAATAAGATTGTAGCTTCCTGCTCACACTGCCTGAAATCGCAAGCAGTGTTATTAGCCCTGCCCGGTTCACCTTTGTGATCTATAGCAGTGCTCCTCAACCCTTTTCTCAGTCACGGCACCCTTTGGAAGTATGCAAAATCTCCAGTCACCCGGTCTAAATTATAGCAAACATCAATGTAAAAAATGAAAAAAAAGTGTGGTCCTTCCAAAATCCGTATCAGACCCTTATCAGTGATAGGGGTCTGGTATGGATCTTAAGGACGGACTCCATGTAAAAACAAAAAAAGTGGGATTCTCACTTTTACATCAGGAGCCTCCCTTTGCATGAGAGTCCTCAGTTCCCCCTTCACATCAGAGTCCTCAGTCCCCCCTTTACATCAGAGTCCTCAGTCCCCCCTTCACATCAGATGAAGCCAGAAGGCACCCCAGGAAGCCACAACAACCTGGTTGAAAAAGGCTGATCTATAGAACACCCTCCCTTTCTATGAACAGGCATTATGAATAGAGGGGGGTGTTCTGTAGTCCTAACACACTTCCTTGGGTGATAATAATGCTCCTTCGTAGATACAGCACTGTGAGTGAGTGATTACACCCTAGGACAGTAAATGTTCTGGTAGGATCATCAGGAGCCTAAAAAAAAGAAAACTAACTCAACCACCACATCTAAGAATTGGTAATCTGTAATAGATGACATTTTGGTCCCTGGGTTTAGGTAAACGTATCCTAGATGTATGATTGTGTATCCTAGATGATTATCCTAGATGTATGGTACTGGATTGTGGTAGGAAACCCATATAAACACGGAAACTGAACCGTGCTTCCATTTTATTCAACGGTTCCAGTAACCAAAATCTTTCCTTTCAGGATTTGGAGAGAAACCGAGGGGACATGGAGGAAGCTGATCTAGATCAGTCTCTGCCCCTTCCCGAGGAGGAGGAAGAAGATCTCTCGGAGTATAAGTATGCAAAGTTTGCAGCAACCTATTTCCAGGGGACAACTACCAACACCTACATAAGGAGGCCCCTGAAGCAGCCTCTCCTCTACCATGAAGATGAAGGAGACCAACTGGTAAGAGGATCCATTATTTCTTCTGTATGTATGCGTAATTAGAAATGCAAGCGCGGGACCTCAGGCAGCCGCTTCAGTTTAAAAATGTAGTGCCGGTGTTCTGTCGAGAACGCTGACCCAGTATCTGCGCTTACGTACAGACGGGATTCAGGAGGAAACCGGCATTTATTTACAAAGAATTCATTTGTAATGGTTAATTGTGACCGTTAATAACATGCCGTCCATGGGACCCCAAGGGACCTAGGGACCCCAAAGAAGCTTCCTCAGCTTCTTTGGGGTCCCTAGGTGATATTAGGGGTCTGAAAGACCCCTCATGTCTCCATAAAGAGGACCTGTCACACCCTATCTGCTATTACATAGGGTGCTTGTTAGCCCCCTATGTGATAGCAATAGGGTTAGTGTAAAAACAAAGTGTTTAAAAATGAAAATAAATTAATGTAACATATAAGAAAAATAACAAAATGCAAAAAAAAGTCCCCAGCCCCCCATGTGCACACACATACATCGGAGTAAGAGCAATAATTCTAGAGCCATCAATCACTGTTAGCACTAAACTAACGAGCACAAAAAGCGTTTAAAGTGTTCCCTATGGGAAATTTGGGGTATTGCCGTTTTTTGTGGCTTCACGGGTGAACGCAATTTTAAGGCTTGTCATGTTTGGTGTCTATTTACCCGGCGTGACCCCGTCTTTTATATTTTATCAAATAATTGGGTATTACATTATGTTTCTGTGCACTAAATTTTAATCAAGTTTATTTCTTCCTAAGAATACTGGTTTGATAAACATTTGCGCAAAAACCGTGGGACAATAAAAACTGCAACTAGCATTTTTGTATTCTACAGGGCCTCTGCTTTCAGCACATATATCATTGTTTGGGGGTCTGAAGCTGTTTTCTAGACAAAAATGTATATTTTATCATGTGTGTGCGCAAATAGGAAGAAAATGCCCTGGACAGCAAGTGGTTATATGTTTGTGCTTAGGCTTAGAGAACCTGTACCTGTTTATGACTCCGGGATGTAGATTTCCCTCGCTCCATCTTCTGTCTGGCATTCATTACGGGAGGAGGGCTGAGGGGTGCAAGTAGCTGGTCTTGCCTAGGGTGCAAAGTAGGCTAGCACTGGCCCTGATTGTGAACCATCAAGAGGTTTGAAGGTGGAACCCTGGAAAGGAGGAACCACCAATTGCAGAGGAACCTATGGTATATGGACAGAGAAAGGAATGTTGGAGCCTCCTGGTGTCTTGTGAGTATGAGTTGGAATAGGGGAGCGGAGTAATTTAAAAAAAATGGACTGGGGGTATGTGGGAAGGACTGAAGAGCTGATGGCCATGCAGGAAAGAGCTGATCCATCCCAGTGTCCAAGGCCGGTCTCTGCTTCATTGGGTGGGGAGGTTCACTAAGCCACCCTGCCTTTCCTTTTTGTAAAAAGGAGAAGGGGATGAGGATGTACTTAAATATCTACAGTATTGAGTTCCATTGGTCACATCGGGGATCTTTACACACACACACACACACACAATAGGTTGGACTTGATGGACATGTGTCTTTATTCAACCTCAAATACTATGTAACTATGTAACATCATCAGATGGCCTTTAATACTATAAATACCTAATTTTTATTCATTCATTTCTCAGGCCGCTCTTGCTGTGTGGATCACTATTCTCCGTTTTATGGGTGACCTTCCAGAGCCGAAGTACCACACAGCCATGAGTGATGGCAGCGAGAAGATCCCCGTCATGACAAAGATCTATGAGACCCTGGGGAAGAAGACTTATAAGAGGGAGCTCCAGGCACTACAAGGAGAAGGGGAGGTAAGTGTTGTCTGGCCATATTTGGTCAAGGACACTGATCTAATATGGTCATGTGGCTATAAAAGGTCTATGATGTTACCAGAATCCCGCCCCTTTTGTTTAAGTGGCGGAATGCCCCAGCCGCAGCTGATTAGTCGGCACCGACAGCTTCCTTTCAGGTTTAGACAAACTCACGTTCGGACTAATTCTGAGCTCATCCCTACTGCAGATCTGGCACCTTTCTTAAGTAAGTCCATCATGATGGTAGTTCCCATAGTGCTGTCATCAAAGGTTCTCTCTCACGTTTGTTGAGATGAGATATCAGCCACATAGGGAGTGTATTGTTTTCAGTGGGTCATCCAAATCATAGACTGCATTCTGAGAAGGAGCTATAAAGTGCATCCCTTGTGTATAACGGCAAAGCAGGAAACAGAGGCTGAATACCTAATGCAATGTTCTTTGACTTTCCATGCAGAGCTCTCACATTGACAGCCTGAAGAAGAACAGCGTACGCCATAAACTGGTCTCTCTAACGCTGAAGAAAAAGTCCAAGTTAACTGAAGAGGTAAGTTATAGAAATTTGTATTGTTGCTTTTTACTTTTAGTCTTCAGCTGGAACCAAATATATAGTAAGTGCAATAAAGGGGTTAAACTACTGACTATGCTTAGGACTGGCTTACAATTTATGTAGAGTTAATAGAGTTAATTATGTAGAGTTTTATGTAAGCTGATGAAGCAGAGATCTTCTTCATCAGCTTCTGTAGCCGGAGAGTGACACTGAATGCAGGAAGTGATGTATTATACATCACTTCCTGCATTCGGGGACAGAGAGGAGATCAGAGGGGTTTCGTGTACTGATCACCCTTTGATCTCCTGTCATAGAGCAGCCGTGCCGGTCCCGGCCGCATCAGGCACGGCGGATCTCGGGACCGGCACGACAGTAGCAACTGCTGGTAATACAAGCGATCGGGTGTCTCCAGAGACGTCCGATCGCTTGAATTACAACGGCCGGCCGGGAAGCTACTCTTCGGGCTTCGCCGTCCTCTCGTCACAGACGAGAGGACAAGTGGATTTTTCAAGCCCTGCTCATTAGAGTCTATTGTATTGTTAGTGTGACCTGTATTATATCATCTTTTCCTTTCTTTAACCATTTGCATCCTCTTGTTCAGGTAACAAAAAGACTTCATGATGGAGAGTCTACACTGCAGGGGAACAGCATGCTGGAAGATCGGCCCACTTCAAACCTGGAGAAACTCCATTTCATTATCGGCAATGGGATCCTGAGACCAGCACTGCGGTTAGTGTTTTCATGATTTTTATTACTACTAGCAAAACTCCATTCCATAAGAGGCAAGGTCGGGGATAGTAGTTACAATGTTAAATACAGGCAGTCCCCTAGTTACATACATCCGACTTACATCCGACTCCTACTTACAAACGGAGGCCGTTACTGTACAGCAGGGGTAGTTGTAATGCTACCGCTCACGTGCCGACGAGGAGTGCCCGCCTTTTTGGGTCAGGTTTGTAGTACTGTACGTACATTACAGGAAGATGGCTCTTGTTAGACATGCAGACGAGGGGTGCCCGCCTCTTCTTCCGGGTCACTGCAAGGTTTTTACTGCTGTCAGTATCCTCATTAGAAAGATTTACTCTCACTTCCTGTCCTTGAGACAACAGGACGTGAGAGGAAACCTACCCCTAGGAAGGGAAATTCACTCCAGTAAGAGTTATGATGGGAAAAAGGTGTCTCCACTGAAGCTGTATCACCAATCCTTGTTTCCATGACAAGCCAAAAATGTAAAAATCCAATTGTCACAGGGACAGAAAGTGAGGTGAAATCTTCTGAACAGGGACACACACAGCAAAACAAACTTTACAGGGGGATTAACCCTTCCCTGTGCTATTCAAAGCCCCCCAATTTTTTTTTTGGGGTTCTTTAAATACATTGAATTTCTTTTCCTCCCTATTCTTCTCACGGTGGCCATTTTTAACTAAGGACAGATGAATCCATCTCCCTTTACTTCCTGAAACTCTAGGTGTGCCTCCTGGAACACCAAGTCCCGTGGGTATTCCACCACACTCCTGACCAGTACACTCCTTGTAAGATGGGTGCTGAAGTGGCTGCAGATGTCGCTGCTTACAATATGTTACCAGCAAACCGAGGATCTGTGTTCAAAAACACCTTTATTGGCATTTTGTCAAGAAGATTGCAATGTTTCAGGGTCATGCACTGTCCATTCATCAGGCTTTATATGACCAATGTCATATAATAAAGGGACCCTTGTGGCCCTGAAACATTGCTATCTTCTTAACTAAATGTTTATATGTCAATAAAGGCGTTTTTGGACACAGATACTTGGTGTGCTGGTGACATATTGTACTTCCTGCCTCCTGGAACAGATGATAGCGCACATCATTTGAAGGAGAAAAAAAGTTTTTATCTAGAGGTCTCATGAGATTTTTGCAGTTTGCAGATTAGATTTTCCACGAAGGCACTGGTGATGTAGCCTAGGATGCATCTGTGAGGCCCGGTCTACATCCCCTGTGCCTTGCTCAACCAGGAAAAACAGTAGGTAGAAGCAAAAACATTTTTAACTAATGAATGTAAGATAATTTAATATCAAAATGCAAAAAATCGAATCAGCTGCCTGCTGATGTGATTTCTAGTGATAAGGAGTAAAGGTCTGCTTTCATACACATGTACAGTATTACAAAACATTGTAGCGACTCTGAATTGACATTTTAAGATTGTAAACTTCCATCAAATTGTAAAAGCAGAGTCACAAGTACCTGTGCATACCCTCAGTAATTTTTTGGTACCCCCCCGAAGCCCTGATATTTGGGGTGCTCTGTTATTTAAAGGCCAACTTCACCTCAGAAAGCTGTACTTTGGCCTACCCTCTTCTGCCTATTGCACCTCACCGCTGGTTCCTAAAATGATGGTTGGCCTGTTGAACCATTTCGTGTAAGCCTAGGGTATCATGGACCCGTCCCCAGCCCTGGACTCACAGGAAAATGCTGCAGAGAGTGGCATCTCATCGATGCTTAGGGCTGTAGCGCTAACCCCCGAAGGAGCCGCTAGATTTTAACCGGGTCATCATCACTAGTCTGTCTAGGGGTATGATCTTCAGCTGCCCCACTATCATTCAACCGCCCTCTTCTAGTGCCCACAAAGCTGATTTCCACTCCGGTAATCCAATGCTGAATAGCTGTTATTAACCTCTTGCCGTCAGGTGATATTAGGGGTCCTAGAGACCCCTAATATCTCCATAAAGAGGACCTGTCAGTGTGCCTTTGCTATTATATAGGGGGTTGTTATCCCCCTATATAATAGCAATACCAATAAGTGCAAAAAAAATAAATATAAATAAAAAAAAATAAAAGTAACACATAAAAAAGTAAAATAAAATAAAAGTCACATATAAAAAAAGGGGAAAAACCCCCCCCAAAATGTTTAACTCCCCCACCCCCACGTTTACGCGCCTATAAACGTAAATACGCGTCCGGTGCCCCAGCGCGCAAAAATTACAATTGCGCTACACATGTTACATATCGCCGCGAACGTCGCAGTGAGAGCAATCATTTTAGGGCCATCAATCACTGATAACACTAAACTGATGAGCGGTAACAGCTTTTAAAGCGTCGCCTAGGGCCAATTTTGGGTATTATCGTTTTTTGAGGTTTCGCGCGCGCACGCAATTTTAAGGCTTGACATGTTTAGTGTCTTTTTACCCGACGTGACCCCATCTTTTATATTTTACCAAAAAATTGGGTAATAATAAATGTTTTATCATTTAATATAGGGGAAACTGTTTTTTTTTTTTAAATTTCGGTAATTTTTCCTTAATATAGTAAAAAAATAAAACCCCCAGTGGTGAATAAATACCACCAAAAGAAAGCTCTATCTGTCCCCAAAAAAGGGTATAAAATTCATTTCAGTACAGCGCTGCATGACGGAATAAATGTCAGTTAAAGTACCGCAGCGCTGAATACTGAAAAATGGCCTGGATGGGAAGGGGGTTTAACACCGCGGATGTCAACTGGTTAAACATCTTCACACTGGCGAGAGAGGGTATAGGGGTCCTAGACATCCAGGGTAGTACAGACTCCCCAGACCTTTTAAGCATCTCAGTGTAGATCCATTTGTAGAACAGTGAATGGTAATTGGAGTACCAGATGAGCAGGAGATGAGTACAGATCCTCAGAAGGAGAGACACCAGCCATGCTCCAGAGGTCCTCTATGTTCCAGGGACCTCCAGCACACATCAGCTTCTCTGGTCTTCTGTCCTCTGGCAAACAACACAGACCTATTCCATACTGGAGGCCCCAGGGAAACACTTTCCTTCCTCCGGCCTCTTCCCACCTCCAAGTCTTAGGCCTAGCCTGGGGGGGGCAGACTGAACAGCACCCAGCCCTAATCCATGGCTGGTCCCGACTAGTCTGAGCACACGGCAAATCCCTCCAGTATATGTACCCTATCCCAGCATGCACCACTGGTTGAGAGAAACTCAGTGATTGACTGCTGTACTGTACATACACTACAGTACCTCTCATTGGCTGTCCCACAATATAGCAGAGTCACACTCCGCCCAGGGGGGTACAGGCAATGCCAGACACCTGGAATTAACCAGATAATTGCCACTATAATCCAGCTAGGCTGACTGACAGAAGGTGATGGAGGCTACAGAGCCATTCTGCATCATTCAGGATCTGCCCATCACCAAAAGAAGAAGAGGGTAAAGAAGACACCTGGATAATAGGTACCGTATATACTCGAGTATAAGCCGTCCCGAATATAAGCCGAGGTACCTAATTTTACCACAAAAAACTGGGAAAAAGTATTGACTCGAATATAAGCCGAGGGTGGGAAATGAGGCAGCTACTGGTAGATAGATACCAATAAAATTACATGAATATTTATTTAAAAGAAAAATAACCTAGCTCTGTAAGTGGAAAAGGGGGTACAGGGCTACATATCATGTACTACGGATCTTTTAACCCATTCATATTAGCAGAGGATAATTGTAAATCTATTGTTCAGTGCATTCTATATGTAGTATATAGTACATGTACATATAGAGTGCTTGCAACAATACATTTACAATGATCCTCTGCTAACATGAGA